TTACCCCCCCCCCAAAAAAAAACCCCAAAAAACCCAAAAACAACAACAACAAAAAAAACCCCAAAAAAAACAACAACAACAAACAAACAAACAAAAAACAACTGTCCAAACAGCGCACCCTTGACAGGAAGTGGTTGCGAGGTCTTCATTATTCACCATCGGATGTTTCTGTCTGTCTTTCTGTCTGCTGCCCCAAGTAAGTGGATCTAACGCTCCTTTCAACACTGCATGTTGTTATTGAAAAACAGGACCTCCGAATTGAACGTCCATTTCCGATAAGACCGAGCCAAGTGAGCTGAGAGACTTAAAAACTCAAAATAACAACCTAAGTCCAAAAACGCCCTGTCGGAGATTCGAACCAAGGTTGTCCTCTTCGTAATCAAGCATAATAATACACGTACAAGTTGAGCTGAGTCTGTTGTATCTGTCAAATATACTCGTACCTCATTAATTCTAGTTCAAAACGACAGTTATTGTGACACTGGTGATTCTTTTCAGTTAACCAACTTAACAGCCAAACTTGTTCTACATACTATCCGTGTCACTTCTGAAGCAAAGAAAACTAATTCCCCATCTTACAAATGTCAGCCCGACACCTTAAGTCTTAAACACCAGAAAAGAAAGACCTAATTCTTTTTCAACTGTAATCACTGACAATGACGAACAATGGGAAGTCTTTCCTCGAGGCAACAGTTCGTTGGGTTTTGACCATGTTGCTGTTCTCAGAGTGTAACAGAGGGGGCAGAATATTGCAGAGCATACGCCAGTTTCCCTCAGTTTTGTTTTTATTTTTGTTTCAGTAAGAGGTTTACGGTACTTGCAACACAATTAGGTCATATAAGAAGTGCCGAAAAATGGAGGCATTGCAAGAGAGTAACAAACAAAAAAGAAAGAAGAGGGATAAGGATAATAGATGTTTGATAGGAAGGAAGGAGCAAACCACACCAGAATACCCGCCTACCACCCACTCTCTCAGCTTACCAGAGGGACAATCTGAACCAAAAGCAAAAACTAGTAGCCCTCAGTCTACAGACCTCCATGTGAATAAGAAAGGCAGCAGGCCTTATTCGTGAAGGGTGGGGACGGCACTGTCGGTCCCTGGATCGCGCTGCTGTCTCCGTGTCTCGAAAAATACGTGCATACCCCTCAAAGGTTCGACATCTATACGTTCTTACTCTCGGGATCTAACCTACAGTACGGGAGACCTTTATCTATGACCTCTTTTATTTGGGTGGCACAGGCTTCTAATAATATCTCTTTACTCCACATACTTTTTAACGCAGTAAGATTGTATCTTATAGAACGTGAAACGGTACTTAATAGTACAGGAAGACCGTATCGGTGACCGTATGAGAAGTCATAAAACGCGGCAGCGAGAGGCATGGGTAGATCTAATGTCACACTTATTTCGTGGGCTTGGAAACAAAATCGGGAATCTCCAACAAAACATCATATAATATTAACACATGACAGGGCTTCAAGCAAACGTTTGGTAAAGCAGAACGCTTACAAAAGTATATTGCGTGTCACTAAAAAAAAAACTAAAAGGGGTTCTTAGGCACAGATTTCTGCTTTTAGAACGAGTTCTAAGGCATGCAAAATATAGAGAAAAGTCAATGCGTTACACAATAAAATGTCTCTTGGCCGGACCAGGTCCTCAGGCATTATGTGTGTTTGGGCGTGCATGTTTGTGTGAGCATGCATATTAGTCTGTTCGTGTGTGGGTTATGTGGGTTGTGTGTGTGAGGGAGAGAGAGAGAGAGAGAGAGAGAGAGAGTATGTGTGTGTGTGTGTGTGTGTGTGTGTGCGTGTGTGTGTGT